ACTGCTGTGGGACCAGAAGCAGAATGAGGGGAGTGTCCAGCATTTATAAACCCCCTCCACATCAATCTAACTTAATGGTCATGGCCGTTGGTGTATGTTAAGGACAGGAACCTGTTTCAGGCTGCTCTTGGGGAATGTTCTAGAGCAGGTGAGTAGGGCAGCCAGTTTCAGGGAACTGGAGGGAATGAGGGGAGACTTAGAGTCGAAGAAGAGACTAGAAAATGTTCAGAACCCCGCCCCCACTTTTGAAAACTTTTTTGAGACAGTGTCTCACGTACCCCAGGTTAGCCTAAAACTCTCTGTAGCAGAGGATGCCCTTGAACTTCTGATCTTCCTCCACCTCCCAAGTGCTGGGATTACAGGTGTATGATGAAGACCACAGCTGGTTTTATTTGGTGCTGTGGCTCGAACCCAGGGCTCCCAGCATGCTAGGTAAGCACTCTACCGGATGAGCTACACCCCCAGCCCTAGTATCCGCTTCTCAACTGGTCTCCACCAGCCCTGAGAAGCCAGTAGCTCTGAGAGGCCCAGACACCATGGCTGTTTGTCCTGGCACTTGTTGAGCAGGCAGTTGTGAGTGGTGCTGCAGTTCCTTTGTGTGGTTTAACTGCTGACCCAGTTTTCCAGCTTTGATTAGATATCACTGAACACCACATCCATCTCTGTGGGATCCCCACCAATGCCTAAGCAGTATTCCCTCACTGAGACAAACCTGGGGACCTGGTCCTGCTTCCCACTGCATCACACTGAGGCCTAGTTTGAGGGGGTCTGTGAGTAGGTCAGTCAGGACCCCAGCAAGAGACAGAAACCACACCAGTCACTTTATCAGAGTCATGGTGGCAAGCGTCCCATGGGAGTCCCGACCACAGGAAGCTTCAGGGCTTCCGGGAGGCAAGGCGACCAAAGGGAAAAAGCTGGAGACCTTGAACTCCAAACACTTCCAGGATTGGCACTTGAGACACCCTCTGGAGAGTTGGCCAGTGGGTGATGGTGATTCAGCAGCTGATGGGTGAGAAGGGGAAACCAGGAAGCAACTGTGCCCCTCCCCTGAACTGCTGCTAGCTAGCGTTGCTAAGGTTACAGAGGCACGGCCACAGGGGAACAATAGAGACAGGGTTAGGGAGGTGCCTCCGTGGTTATAGGCTTGAGGACCAGAGTTTGGATCCCCACAAACCATGTAAATGCCAAGTGGGCATGGAAACCCACCTGAACTTCCAGCCTTGAAAGGCAGAGAAAGGAGATTCCCCAGAGTAAACTGGTGGGAGAGACTAGCCATATCAGTGAGCTCTGGGTTTGATTGAGTGACCCTGCCTCAATGAATAAAGTAGAAGAGTGATGGAGGATGATTCCAGACATTCACCTTGGCTCTCCACATGCTTGCTCACACATGTACACCCCTACACACGTGTCCACACACATGCAAACATGTCTACACACATGAAAATGGAAAAAGGAAAAAAAAAAGTGGAAGCAGGAGACAGAGTTGAACAAAGGGAAGAAATGAAACTCCTCTTGGGCCTGTTTATAAGAAACACTGGGCCTCAGCTGGTTCCCCAGCAGGCAGAGCCATGCAGTGCGTGCTGGCAGAGGCACCCCTCCCCCACCATGCCTGGGACCCAGCACAGACTGAAGGCCCCATTAGGGATGCCATGCTGTGTCTGTTGGGCTCCATGTGCCTGGCCTGTCCCTGATCCTTCCCTACCCTGTGATGCAGAAATCTTGAACCTTCAGGGTTTTCACCACCCACCAAATCAGGCAGCTGGCTGAGGCCTCTGTCTGGGGAACATCTGCTTAGGAGCACTACTGGGCCCCTCTGGTTCCCAAGAACCCCTGCTTTCCAGAGGCCAACCTTACAGCAGAGACATCCCACCAGGGGGCTGGAGATTCTAAACAAAGATGATTGGGGTTCCCTCAGATCCCTTCTGGGTAGAGGAAGGTGAACCCACAAAACCCTGAGACCCTATAATGTACTACTAGGTTGGGGGTGTTCTAGTTTTCTTTTGCTGTTATGACAACCACCATGGCCAAAAAGCATCTTGGGGAGGAAAAGGTTTGTTTGGTTTAACACTTCCAGGTCAAAGGCCATCTTTAAGAGAAGTCAGGGCAGGAACTCAAGCAGGAACCTGAAGCCAAAATTGTGGAGAAACACTGCTCGCTGGCCTGCTCTGGCTTACGGTTAGCTTTCTTATGTAGCTTTCCCTTATATCTGCCAAGGAATAGTGCCATCCACAGTGGACTGGACCTTTCAGAATCTATTAATGATCAAGATAATCCCCTAGAGACCTGCCCACAGGCCAATCTGATCTAGGCAATTTGTCAATCTAAACTTTACTCTCAGATGACTCTAGGTTGTGTTAAATGGACAATTAATGCTAACTAGAATGGAGGTCTGTAGGATGTCACCATATATCTGCTGTGAAAATTAGGCCCAGGGATTTGCTGGAGGATAGGGATGGCATGGGACAGGCCCTAGGGCCCTGGGCAGGAATTATATGACTGACAAAATGCAGGGCCAGGGGCTGGAGAGATGGGTCAGCAGTGAGGAGCACCGGTTGCTCTTCCCGGGGACCCAAGTTCAGTTCCCAGCACACACCGTGGTAACCACCATCTGTAACTCTAGTTCCAGGGGGATCCGATGCCCTCTTCTGACCTCTGCAGGCATTCCACACATGTGGTAGACTTATATACATGCAAGCAAAACATTCATACACATAAAATAAAATAAAACAAATATTTGAAAAGCTAATTATTTAAACACACAGAGCCCAACAGACACAGCATGACATCCCTAATGGGGCCTTCAATGCTGTGCTGGGCACTTCCCAGGCATGGTGGGGGAGGTTCACCTCTGCCAGCACTTCCAGAATGCCCTCCACACCTCCCTCAACATCACAAGTCCCATCCTCTCTCTTCTGGCCCGATGTGTGGCTTGAGGGTGTGGTGGGGGCTCTGATTCCTTTTCTTTGTCCCCACATGCTTCCCCCTAAGTGGGCCAGTCTGAGGAGCTGGCTCATACAGACTTGCAGGAGCCAAATGTTAAATAGTCTGGAATTTTGTGAGCTGGTTGGTGACACAGCCATCATTAGAGACTGGATGATGCAGGCTCCTATTTGTCAGCCTCTGATTCACCTTTGCTGCTAAGGAGACTTTTTGGGTATTTTCCCCCTCTCTAATCTACAAACTCCTGCCCATGAGATTGTAATACCACAGATATACCCTGCCCTGGTTATAGATCTGTTTTTGTTTTTGTTTTTGCTTTTTGAGACAGGTTCTCCCTGTTGCCCCAGCTAGCCTGGAACTCACTGTGTAACCAGGCTGGTTTGAACTCACAGAGATCTTGCCTCTGTCTCCTGAGTGCTGGGATTAAAGCCACCACACCTGACTCATATATCTGTCTTTTATATATCAAAGAAAGATATGTTTTGTCCCCCATCAAGGGTCAGTGCTAATCCCTATTAAGAAAGCATGATTTGGGCCTGGAGAGATAGCTCAGCAGTTAAGAGCGTGCTCTTGGGTTCGATTCCCAGCACCCACATGGTGACTAACAACCGTCTGAAACCCCAGTAGCAGGGGATCTGACTCCTTTTTCTGTCTTCCAAGGGCATTGTACAACATGGGTGCACTTGCATACAGCAGAGAATATACTCATACACATAAATAAATAAAAATTAAAAAAAGAAAAGAAAAAGAAATCATAAAAACAAAAGGTAGAGGGAGGATCAGAAGTCTAAGGTCATCCTTGACTGTATAGAGAGATCAAAGCCAGCTTGAGACCCTGTCTCACAAGACAAGAAAAGAAACGATTAGACGGAAATACACAAAATGTTCTCAGTGACTGCTCTGAAGTGAGATAAATGATTTTTAAAATATTTCATTGATTATTTTCTAGTTTATGTGTATGAGTATATTGCCTGCATGTCTGTAAATGCACCCGTGTAATGCAATGCCCTCTGAGGTCAGAAGAGGTTGTTGAATCCCCTGGAACTGGAGTTGCAGATGGTTGTTAGCCACCATGTGGATTCTGGGAATTGAACCTGGGTCCTCTGCAAGAGCAGCCGGTGCTCTGAACCACGGAGTCATCTCTCCAGCACATAAGTGATTTTTTTTTTTTTGGTCTTTTTGAGACAGGGTCTCTCTATAGCCCCAGCTGTCCTGGAACTCACTATGTAGACCGGGCTGCCCTTGAGATCCGCCTGGCTCTGCCTCCTGAGCGCTGGGATTAAAGGCATGTGCCACCACGCCCGGCTCACATAAGTGATTTTTAAAACATCAAAATGGCCTAGTGTAATTTCCATGGGGGAAGAAAGGGAAAGGGACTCCTCAGAAATAACAGTGATGGGGCTGGAGAGATGGCTCAGTGGTTAAGAGCACTGACTGCTCCTGTACAGGACCTGGGTTTGAATCCCAGCATGCACATGGTGGCTAACAATCATTCATAACTCCAGTTCCAGGGGATTTGACCCCTTCTGACCTCTGAGGGCACCTTGAAGTGGGTACACCTACCTACATGCAAGCAGTACATTCATATACATAAAATAAAAATAATAAATAAGGGGGCTGGAGAGATAGCTCAGGGGTTAAGAACACTGGATGAACTACTGTCCATACGCCCTCTTCTGACCTCTTTGGGCATTGTACGACACGGGTACACTTTCATACATGCAGGCAATACACACATACACATAAAATTTTTATTTTATGTGTATGTGTGTATTACCTGCATGTATGTAAGTGCAGTCAGATCCCCTGGAACTGGATTTACGGACAGTTGTTAGCTGCCATGTGGATGCTGGGATTCAAACCTGGGTCTTCTGCAAGAACAGTCAGTGTTCTTAACTGCTGAGCCATCTCTCCAGCCCCAATAAATAAAATTTTTTTAAAATTAATCAAATGCTTTTTTAAAAAAGAAAGAAATAACAGTGTGTTAGGGTTATGAGATTATGGGCCATTTTTGTTTCTTTGTTCAGTTTTCCAAACATCTCATTATGTGGTTTGTGATGTTGTTTCAGCTGGAACAAACCCCCTCCTCTGCTACAGGGGGAGAAAGAGCTAGTGTTCCCAGTGGCTTCTTATTTCAAGTAATTGGACCATGGCGTTGCTTGGATGGTGGGAGGTTGCTGCTGGTGACCTGTCGTGTCAAGGGAGAAAAGCATTAGTGGCTCAGTTGGTAGGGTGCCCTGGTTCAATCCCTCCCACCACATTACCTGGGCATGGTGGCACATACCTGTAATCCCAGAACTCAGGATGTGAAAGCAGGAAAAATTAGAAGTTCAAGGTCATCCTTGGCTACATGGGACTCTGTCACAAAACAAAACAGACTAGAACACTCTAATCCTTAACAATATCCCCCTCAGTAGACATTGGCAGAGACCTGGCAGCTAGGCAGTCTGGTGCCAGAACACGAGGTGGCAAGATTGAGTCTCTACGCAGCCTTTAGCCCAGGAGCTTCCCTTGACATTCTAAGGTGAGGGGCTTTGAGAGAAGGCTGAGGGGGTCCCTAAAGAGGCCAGATCACATCCTGGAGGGAGTCACCAAGTTTGCAGGGGATAGTTAGTATTAAGCCTGTCCAAGGATTGAACCCCTGTCAGACTCTTGAGTCCTGGGATTACAGAGGTACATGATCATGTTCAGCTGTCCTGTATACTTTCAAGTGTTTTTATGTGGGGTTGGGGATATGTGGGGTTGGTACTTGCTTAGCATGCATGAGGCCCTGGGTTCCATCTCCAGCACCACATAAATGCATGCCTATAATCTCAGCACGCAGGAGGTAGAGAAAAGAGAATCAGAGTTCTTAGGGCAAAAACTGGGCATATACTCCTTTAGTCCCAGCACTTGAGAGGTACAGGCAGGTGGATCTTTGTGAGTTCAAGGTCAGCCTGGTCTACACTAACAAAAAAAGTTCCAGGTCAGCTGGGGCTACAGAAAGACCCTGTCTCAAAAAAAAAAAAAAAAACCCACAAAAAATAAACAACATCAACAACAAAAGACTTCTTAGAGTTGGAGAAATGGGCACAGTGGTTAAGAGCACTGGCTGCAGAGGACCTGAGTTGAGTTCCTAAAACCCACATGGTGGCTAACAACTGCCTGTAACTCCAGTTCCAGGGGATCCAACACCCTCTTCTGGCCTCTGTGAGCATCAGGCATGCATGTGGTACACATATATATATGCAGGCAAAACATTCCTAGAAGAGTTTCAGTTTACCCTTGGATATATAGAGAGTTCAAGACCATCCTGGCTACAATGGGACCTTGTCTAAAAAAACAACAACAACAAAAAAAGAAAAATGAAGGGCTGGGGAGATGACTCAGTGACTAAGAGCACTTGCTGCTCTTGCAGAAGACCTGGGTTCAGGTCCCAGCACCTAATACTCCAGTTTGAGGGGATCTGATGCCCTCTTCTGGACTCCATGGGCACTGTACACATGTGGTACACATACATACATGCAGGCAAAACTCATACATATAATATTTAAAAAATGTATATCCATACGATGGAATATTATTGAGCTGTAAAATGGACCAAAGTACTGATGCTACAATATGGATGAAAATGGAGTACAGTGTGGGAACCAAACCAAACCAAACCCAAGAGACCACATAGTATGTGACATCATTTCTGTTGGAGTAGAAAAATCTACAGAGATTGAAACAGGTGAGTGGTTAGGGACTGGGAAAAGTGGAGGAAGGAGAGTGTTTGCTTAGTGGATACAGGGCTTCCTTTCGAGTTTTAAAGATTTATTTTCATTATTTTTATGTGTGTGTGTGTCTGTATATATGTGCACATGAGTGTAGTTCCCACAGAGTCCAGAAGAGGGCGTCAGATCCTCTGGAGCTGGAGGCTGTGAGCCTCCCTACATTGGTGCTGGGAACCAAACTCCAGTCTTCTACAAGAGCAATACAAGCTCTTACCCACAGAGCGATCTCTCCTATTTGTTCACACAAGTAACACTCAAAAGGACTAGATGTCCGGAATTTCAGGGTTCTTTCTCTGCACCAGCACAGAGTAAGAAGAAAAGAAGTGGCCCCATCAGGACAGTGCACACAGCCTCAGGGACAAGCCTGGTCAGGTTCATCTAGGAGTGTAGTGACCCAGCAAGAACAGAGCAAGGATGCTGACTTGGAAATTTCAAAACCCTGAAACCCTGCAAAACCCTGAAACCCTGCGTGGGCTCCCCCTTTCATCTGCTGGCTGAGTGAGCCCCAGCTTCCTATCCCACACTGTTTCCCAGCCCAGCCTGGAAGTGCTTTCTGGCTTCTGCCCCAGGTGTAGAAGGATGCCTGGAAGAAGAAGAAGACTGCCTCCTCCCCCCCTTCCTACAGTGCTGAGGATTGAATCAGGGCTTCATCCAGCCTAAGCCAGTGCTCTACCACTGAGCTACATCCTTAGTTCCTTAGAGAAGAGATTTTTGTTGTTGTTTTTTTTGTCTTTTTGAGACAGGGTCTCCCTGTAGCCTCAGCTGTCCTGGAACTCATTATGTAGACCAGGCTGGCCTTGAACTCACAAAGATCCACCTGCTTCTGCCTCCTAAGTGCTGGGACTACAGGCGTGCACCACCTGCCCAGCTTGTTTGTTTTTGAGACAAGGTCTCATATGTAGCCCTGGATGTCCTGCTATGCAGACCAGGCTGGCCTTGAACTCACAGAGCTCCGCCTGCCTCTGCCTCCCGAGTGCTGGGATTAAAGGCATGTACCACCATGCCTGGCGTCTTTTTGGTTTTTGAGACAGAGTTTGCTGTGTAGCCCTGGCTGGCCTTGAACTCACTATATAAGCGGAGGCTGGCCTGGTACTCCATATGCAGCTCAGGCCTCAATTTTGCAGCAGTCCTCTAGCCCCAGCGTTGTAAATGCTGGGATTACAAACACACCCGCACATACCTAGCCTTTTTGTACTTTTTTTTTTTTTTTTTTTTGGGTTTTTTTGAGACGGGATCCCCCTGCAGCCCCAGCTAGCCGGTATTCGCTAGGGAGACCGGGCTGCCCTCCACCTCACAGAGATCCGCCTGCCTCTGCCTCCCGAGTGCTGGGATTAAAGGCGTGCACTACCACATCTTGCCCATTTTTTTTTTTTAAGATAAAAAAAAAATTTAGGGCTGGAGAGATGGCTCAGTGGTTAAGAACACTGACTGTTCTTGTAGAAGACCTGGGTTCAAATCCCAGCACCCACATGGCAGCTAATGACTGTCTATAACTGTGGTTCCAGGGGACTCTGACAGTCTCTTCTGTCCTCTGTGGGTATTGCATGACATGGGTGCACTTACCTATGTGCAGGCAATACACACATACATATAAAATAAAAATAAATAAAATATTTTAAAATTTTAAATTATGTGTATGTATCTGTGTGTGTGTATGCACACATGAGTGCAGGCACCCCAGGAGACCCAAAGAGGGCATTGAATACCCAGGAGCTGGAGTTACAGGTGGTTGTGAGCTGTCTGACATGGATGCTGGGAACCAAACTCCTGTCCTCTGCAAGAGCAGTACACCCTCTTAACCACTGGACCAGCTCTCCAGCCCCTTGTGTATGTTTTGTTGGCATCACTATTCTTAGCACTTTGGGGTCCTGATTAAAGAGAATAAGAGTCACTTGCACATATGCAGACTGCAGTGCTCTGAGAAACCGGCAGGCCACTAAGTGACTAATGGTGCACTGTGGGGGTGGTGTGTAATGTGCACAAAGGGCTGATTCACAGCCCCAGCAAGACAGAGAGGGATGGCGCAAGACTTCATCACGCTATTCCGACTAGGGCACAATTAAAACAGACATTATTTATTTCTGAAATTGCCCAAGTAATATTTTTTGTCTGGTTGACTGGTTCAGGGGTAACTCAGAAAGTAAAACTGTAGGTAAGAGAAAAGTCCTGCAGATTACTGTATCCCTTACCAAGATCCACCTTGCCTGATTTATAGGGTGCTGGGGATGAAGCCAAGGGCGTCATGCATGCTAAGGAAGTGCTCTACCCATGGAGCGGCCTCCGCAGCCTGGAAGAGATGCCTCTGTCCTGAGGTCTGTGTGACCCAGTGTTCCCGTTCCCAATCACCAGGGCCCCACTTTCCAACTCGGACACTGAGCTCTCTCGGGATTCATCAGCTCCCACCTTCCTATTTTGTAGCTGTGGAGATCCAGACTTGAAGAGGAAAAGGGCCTGGCCCAGGGAATAGCCAGCAGGAAGCCTCGGTCGGGCCTCAGACCCGGGACTCCTACTCCAGGGGCCATCCTGGACCTCAAGCCTGTTCTGGTATTTGGTGCCTCATTCTGGAACTTTCAGTAATTGTCACTACAAGGTACTGCTGAGCTAGCTGAAGACTGGGGTCCCAGGGGACCAAGGTTGCCCTGGCTTGCTTTTCCAGTTTTCCTGACTTGCTTTTATAAAAGTCGTGTGTGTGTGTGTGTGTGTGTGTGTGTGTGTATACATGTACACTCGCATGTGCATGTGTGCGTGGAGATCAGAGGATAACTTGGGGAAATTCATTTTTTTTCCTTCTACCATGTGGGTTCCAGGGATCAAACTCAGGTCATCAGACTTAGTGGCAGGAGCCTTTGACCTGTTGAATCATCTCACCAGATCCTGAATTGTTGTTGTTTTATATTTTTTTAAATTTTATGTGTATGAGTGTTATGCCTGCATGTAGGTAAGTGCACCTGTGTCATGCAATGCCCAAGGAGGATAGAAGAGGCCGTCGATCCCCTGGAACTGGAGTTATGGACAGCTGCTAGCCGCCATGTGGGTGCTGGGATTTGAACCTGGGTCCTCTGCAAGAACAATCAGTGTTCTTAACCGATGAGCCATCTCTCCAGCCCTTTTTTAAAATCTTCTTATGTAACTCAGTCTGGCTTGAACTTACTAAGTAGCCTTGAACTCCTGATCCTCCTGCCTCTACTTCTTGAGTGGGGGCATGAAAGTGGGGACATGTACTAACATGCCTAGCCTGGGTTTATTATTATTATTATTATTGATTTTTGTATTATATTATTATTATTTTAAAATATTTTATTTATTATTATCATTTGTATGTATTGAGTGTATTACCTGCATGTATGTAAGTGTACCCATGTCATGAAATGCCCTCAGAGGTCAGAAGAGGGCATCAGATTCCTCTGGAACTGGAGTTATGGATGGTTGTTAG